TACGCCGTCAAGTGGGATGGCTACGCCTGTCCGACGTGGGAAGCAGAAGAGGACCTCTTCAGTTACGGCCAATTGATGGCCGAGCATGACGAGACTTGCCAGTGCGCGCCAGGCCTTGGGAGTGGCCGCCGACACAATGAGTGGACCGGACGAGGTCGGCGAAAAGCGGGTTCAGTCACGCCGCTTGTTGATTTGCGGCCGACAGATGTAGACTCAACGGTAGTGAACTAGGTCGGATGAGTGAGCAAACCTTCTGGCACTCTGAGCCATCGATCAACTTGTGCCGTTACGTGGAGCGACCAGATATGGTGCACTGCCTGAAGTGATTCTGGGGCCGCTGATCTGGCTCTGACACGACCAGGGGTGCGCTGTCAAATCCAGAACGAGCTCCCTTTTGATTACAGTGCACACACACCCCAGATCGAAGAGCGGCTTCTGGGGCATGCAAAGATCCACTGATCCAGCAGCAACGTTGCCGCGAAGTCCCAAAAGAATATTTGTAGCTATGCACATATGGGCTGAAATGTAGTGTTACAACGTCCCATCGAGATACTGTTCGAAAAGAGCATTTCCACTTCCGAGGCATTGCCAGCCAACTAAAATGTCCCCAAAGTCTTTGCGTTCATTCGACGTCGTGAGTGAATGGGTTTCTTCCATGTCGCCCCACATGGAGCGACCGGCGCCTCCCAAGACTGGCCCTCAAGTGACGTTCCGCCCCCCGCTTGTCTCGAAGGGACGAACGAAGCAAATCCAACCCCGCACCACCAACAGCGACCAACCGTTATCTCGTCAATCTGCGGCAGGGGCTCGCCAGGCTTCAAACGCCGCATTCTGCAACAGAAAACGTCAAATAGGGCGTCTCAAGAAACCTGCCAGAGCAAAGTTTGAGCAGCACGGTTCCAGTCGCAGTGTCGATACGTGCACCATGATCGAAGCGGACGAAATGACAGAACGGGAAGGCTCCACTGAAGCCAGCACGCCAGCTGCGGAACCTCTTCAATTTATCCGTCGTGTGGACTTGGACGGCACGGCGGCCGGTCGTTCTTTGATTGGAAGCATGTTGAAGAAGTTCTGATCTGTCAGGGGAGATGGGAGCACGGCTGCGAGCGCGGACAGAGGATGGGAACATTGGTGTGAATTACGGTGTCATATTGTCATGTTGTCACGAGTTGTGGCAGGCATCAATGGGTATAGGATGTGGAACAAGAGGCTTGTATTGAATCAAGAAGAATGCGAAGAAGAACGAAAATTCTATGATCAGGACGAAAGTGAGAACCACCTGATAATGCATTTTACAGGCCGATCGTGGAAAAGTGACCCTGTTCCCGATTCGTGATGTATTTTGAATTTGGATACTACATGTAGATGAAGAACGCCACGACCTGCGGG